CATCCCGTGGGAGAGCACGGACCCCCTCCTGAAGCAAGCTCAAGTAGGAGTGCCCTATGGGGCCTCGAGGCCGCCCGCGCCCGATAAGCAGCCGCCCCACGTGTCGAGCCGACCGTCCGCCCCTCCACTCCCGGAGCGGGACCTCCTCGTTCGCCATAGTCTGGCCGCTGCTCGCGCCCATCGCCTGGTGACCACGTGCTGAGGTTGGTCGTAGCGCAGCTGCTTGGTTGCTGGGGTCGGCTGCATGGTCGTCGCAGTGCTCCTGGTTGCTCGCTCTGATGGTGCTAGGGTCGGTCGCCGGTTGGTCGCGGTGCTGCAAGAGTCGGTCTAGGACTGCTGGCGTCAGCCAGGTCGCTTCTGGAGTTGGATGCAGTGCTGCAGCAAATGGCCGCTGTGCTGCTGCCTGGACGCTGGCGTCGGTTGCCGGTTGGTCGTGGTGCTGCTGGTTGGTGGCTCTGGTGGTGCTGGAGTCGGTCGCTGGTTGGTCGTGGTGCTGCTGGTGCCGGTCTAGGCCTGCTGGTGTCGGCCGAGGTGCTGCAGGAGTCGGTCGCGGTGTTAGTGGAGCTGGCCGCGGCGTTTCTGGAGTCGGTCGTGGCGTTGTTGGGCTGTCGCTGGGGTCGGTCGCTGGTTGGTCGCGGTGCTGCTGATCGCTTACTCTGGAGGCACTAGGGTCGGTCGCAGGTGGGTCGCGGTGCTTCTGGTTGCTCGCTATGGCGGCGCTGTGGACGGTCGCTCGTTGATCGCGGCGCTGCTGGAATTGGTCGCAATGCTGCCGGCGTCGGCCTAGTGTTGCTGGTGTCGGCCCAGGTGCTGCTGGAGTTGGCCGTGGTGCTGTTGGAGCTACTCGTTGTGCCTCTGACGCAGGTCGCTGTGCTGCCGCTTGGTCGCTGGGGTCGGTCGCTGGTTGGTCGGAGTGCTGCTGGTGGGTCGCTCTGGGAGCGCTGGGGGCGGTCGCAGGTTGGTCGTCGTCCTTCAGGTGCCCCATGGTTCTGGCAAGCCACCGGCAGGCGCACGCCAGGGAGCCCTGCGGGCGGACACCGACAGCAACAGCGATCTTCATCACGACGTATTGCGGCAGGGTGCCATTGTTGACGCCAGGGTCGGTCAACGAGCGGCCGTGAGGCTGCTGTAGTTGATCGTCACGCTGTCGTGCTGCTGACGCTGGTCGCGGTGCTTCTGAAGGTGGCCGATGTGCTGCTGCCTGGTCGCTGGCGTCGATTGTCGGTTGGTTGTGGTGCTGCTGGTTGGTGGCTCTGGCGGTGCCGGAGTCGGTCGCTGGTTGGTCGTGGAGCTGCTGGAGTCGGTCGTGGAGCTGCTGGTGACGGTCTAGTGCTGCAGTCGATGGTCCATGGGCAGCAATAATTGGTCGTGGGGCCACCGTGGGGCTCAAGAGGCCCTGCCGCGGGGCTCCCGTGGGGCTCGCGTGGGGCTCCAGAGTGCCTCGTGCTGCTCGGGTTGGTCGTTGTGCTGATGGGGTTGATGTCGATGCTGCCGCAGTCGCCCTGGAGCTGCTGAACTCGGTCGTCGGATGGTCGCGGTGCTGCTGGACTTCGTCGTGGGGTTCCCTGTGTCGGCCCAGGGTTGCTGGAGTTGGTCATGCTGTTGCTGGGGTCGTTCCGGTGCTGTTAGGGTCTGTCGTTGGTTGGTCAAGGAGCCGCTGAAGTTGCTCGCTTTGCTGCTGGTGTCGGTCTGGTGCTGCTGGGGTCAATCGTGGTGCAGCGGGCGTTGATCGTGGTGCTGCTGGAGTCGCTTGGGCGTAGTGTTGCCGGAGTCGGTCGTGGTGCAGCTGGAGTCGGTCGTGGTCTGGTGTTGCTGGAATCGGTCGTGGTGCAGCTGGCATTCGCCTTGGTGCGTCTAACGTTGGTCGTGGTGTTGCTGTGGGCGATGGTCGTGGTGCTGTTGCTGGAGTTGGGCGTGGGTCGTAGTGCCGCTGGAGTTGCTGCTGGAGTAGGTCGTGGTGCAGCTGGCGTTGGTCGTGGTGCAGCTGGAGTTGTTGGAGTCGGTGTGGTGTTGCTGGCGTTGGTCGTGGTGCAGCTGGCGTTGGTCGTGGTCCTTCTCGCACGCGCCTGTCCCCGCCCGAGTCTGCAGCCACTGCCCACCCTTCTCGATGCCGGCCCTTGATGTCGGCGAGGGCCGCGCCTGCACGCCAGGCTGCGAAAAGGGCCCGGGCGTCGTGGCGGCGCCGACGCGCGCGGCGCGCTGCGGCGGACTCCCTCTGTCCGTCCCCCTCCTGGCGCGGGAAGCCTGCGGAGGCCTCCCGCCTGCCGCCGCCCGTCATACACGCCTGCGCCCCCGCACGCGTGCCCCGAGGGCAGGCCCAACCGTCCGTGCGCCCTGATGCACGCAGATTTGAGCCAGACGGCCTTGAGCCAGAGGCTACGGAAAGAGTCATACCAAACACGTCGGTCATGATAAAAACCTTGAATGAAACCCATCAGGCACGGCCAAACCGACCCCTGGCAAACGATCCCCTCCCGTGACGTCACCCTCGCCTTTCAAATTTCCCTCTGGCCGGATACGTCTTGGGGCGAGGCGAGGGGGACGTCACGGAAGGGGATGGCTTAGCTTGCTAGGGGTCGGTAAGGCCACTCCTGATTCCAGCCGGTCGCTCGCACAAAATATTGCACATGTTCTGCCCGCGCGCACGTGGTGAAATCATGGGATAACCACATGAAATTAGCAGCCTCGTCCAGAAACCCACATTATCATCTCACCACGCGGTGCATCCGCGTGGTTCCAGCCTGCGCCCCGTTCGAGCCACATGCGCGTGCCGCCACGCGCGCACGTTCAAGATCCTTTCACAACCATTGGTCCTCGAAACATCTCAAGACAGAGCTTTTCAAGAGCTGCCAGTGGAAACAAACATTGCTTGTCAACAAGAAGTCGGCCAGATATCGTGAATTCATGTGCGCGCAAATCGAAATCACCTTGTCCAGCGCAATCGCATCGCCGCCTGTCTCGTCATCGTCAATCGCCGCCACTGCCGCCATCCTAAGCGCAATCACCTTCATCACCGAATCGTCATCGTCGTCAGCAACATCGGCTGCATCATTAGCTTGCCGTTGTCATCGTCACCACCGACACCTCCATCGCAACGACCATCAGCGTTACCGCCGTTGTCGACGTCATCGTGATACCGCAGCCGCCAAAGTCACCGACCCGCACTGAAGCGCCCGCGCGCAAGCGCGGCCTTCAAAACGCGCTGGGAAAAATTCCCATCGGCAGGCCATCGCGGCCGCATCAGTTGTGCTCAACAAGCTGGTCGCTATGCGCGCGAGCTCGCGCGCGCGCGCGGCTATAGAGATTCACCATCAAATGACAATGAATAACCGCAATCGTGGCCGAATTGGTGTGGCCAAACAAGTTCTGGGGGGAAAGATGCGATGCTTGCGCGAGCAACGGGCTTGACGGCTCCAACTTCTTCAGAATGATATTGCGCTAACTCGTTTTACCACGTGCATTGCACCACGTAGCTTACACCACACAGATAACACCACACTGCTTAGTGACACCCCGCAACTTACGCCACATAGATTCCACGGCAAAGCCTACACTACGCAACTGACGCTGCATAGTTGCAAGACCCACCATGTACCGCACAGCTTGCACCACACAACTTGCGCCACGGTATTTGTTACCACACAACTGGCACCACATAGCCTGCGCCGCAAAGCTTGCACCACATAGGTTGCACCGCGTCGCTGACACATCCACAATGCATCAAATCCCACCAGCCCTCTGGGCGTCGGTGGTTAAGGGAGTTTCCTCTTCCACCCCTCCTTCTTCCCCTTCGGGGACTGGTTTACCTCTCCCCCTGCCCCCTCCCTGTGGACCTGGACAAAAGGTTTCGCGAGGTGTCGGAGCGTCCAAAACGGCCTCGGCGAGGAAGCCAAACCATGCGTTGTATTAGGGTGTGGGCCCCGTTTTGGCCTCCTGAGGGAGTGACGCTAATTAGTGCCCCCCCCCTCCTGTGATCGATCTTACCCAAGATGGCCAAAGATGGCCCCCAAGGCTACCAAGGGTGCCTCAAGAGGGTCCCAAGAGGTGGCCAGGAAGCCCCAAGAGGCCCCCAGGATGCCCCTAAAAGGCTCCAAGACCTCCCAAGAGGCCCCAAGAGACCCCCCAGGGGCACCCAAGATGCTCCAAGAGGCCTCGGCGAGAATGCCAACTCATTGATTTCACTAAGGGTCTAGCTACATGTTGGCCTTTTGGGGGGGGCACTGATTAAGATGACTCCAAGAGCGCCTGGGAGGGCCCGAGATGACCTCCAAGATGGCTCAAGATATCCCAAGATGTCTCATAGTGGCTCCCACGATGCTCCAAGATGCCTCAAGACCGCTCAAAGACGGTTCCCAGTGGCCAAAGGGCTCCCCCAGGAGGCCACGAAGAGGCAGAAACCTGAGGAAATGATATGTTCTTGGCTTTCTCTCCTTTTCGCTTCCGATGGCCATCCGAGGCCTCGAGATGGCTCCAAGATGGCCCAAGAGGGCTCCAAGAAATGCTCCAGAGAGCCCCAAGGCGGCCCCAAGAGCGCCTAAGAGCGCTCCAAGTGCGCCCAAAGAGCGCCCCAAGAGGCGATGGTTTGGGCTCCCGAGGGGCAACGCGAACTAATGCTCGCTTCTTGTTTGATCGATGTCCCCCAAGACGGCCCCAAGAGCGCTCCCAAGGCTCCCAAGAGCGCTTCAAGAGGGCCCCAAGAGGCGCCCAGGAGGCCCCAACAGGCGCCCAAAGGGCCTCCAAGATGCTCCCAAGAGACCCCCAAGAGGCCCCAAGAAGCTCTCCGGGGCACCCAAAGACGCTCCAAGAGGATTCCACTGGGGGGAGTTACTGGGGGCCCTCCCTCTGTGTGCTGCCCACTTCCCTGATCGAGGCAATTCCTCTGGGCATCGTTTCTGGATGGGCTGGTGGGGTTACGCGAAGCTTCTAGAAGTATTGCTTGGGAACAAAACTGGCAAACATCTCGGCCCGCCGTCAATGTCTCCGCCGTGGGCGCGGTCGGCCTGCAAGGGGGTCTGGAACAGCTGGCTGCTGTTGCGGCTCATGCGTGAGCCGGGCAGGTCGTCCTTGTCGGACGAAGGACTCGTCTCCTCCCCCTAACTCACCCCTCCCACCCATCCCCCGCATCCAGATACTTCCTCCTCCTCCTCCTCCTCCTCCTCCTCCTCCTCCTCCTCCTCCTCCTCCTAGTTCCTGCTCAAGAGATGGTTCCCCCATTTGGGCGCCTGCTGCGCAGGCGAGGGGCCCACCCAATCTCGCGCCGAGACTAGCGCGCCACTACGACGGCAGCTCCCGGCGAGTCCGCCCAACATCATCGCGCGCGCCTACGCCGCTCGGCGGACCGCGCCCTGCTGCACGCCTGGGCAGGGCGGCCCTCGCCTTCGCTGCGGGCGCTGCTGGGCAGCGCTGCACAGCGGCTGGACGCGCACCACGGCTCCCCCGCTAGTTGCATGGCGCAGGGGAATCGGTCTTAGCGCAGCACGGATGCGTGGAAGTGCAAACCTTGCAAGGATCGCGACGGGAAGCCGTTCACGAACAAAGGTTTCCGCACGTCGTGCTTCCAGTGCAACCTGGCCAAGGGCGTGATTTTCTTGGCGAAAGTCGCGTCGCCCTCTCGCTCGACTTCTGCTGGTGCCCGGGCGGCCGCTTTGCGGGAGCGGGAGCTCAAGGTCAAAGAGGCCGAGCTCCAGAGGCGCGAGGCGGCCGTGGAGAATGCCGAGGCGCTCGCTGCGGGGTCGGCCGACGCGTGCACGGCACCTCCGCAAGGCCAGGCCAAGACTGACATGCTGCAAGCCGACCGCGAGGCCTTTGGAGGCCATGGAGGACTCCCCTGCGATCGAGGCCCTGCGCGCGGAGAAGCGCGCCCAGCCCCAGAGCTCGCAGGCCGCCAAGCGTGTCGCAAAGCCCTATCACGTCAGGGTCCGAAAACTGGACGAGCAGATGAAGCGGAAGGATAAGATGGTGGAGCGGCTGGAGTCGGTCGACATGCCAGCGGCTGAGAAGAAGGTCGCGTCGTTGCGGACCGATTGCGACACGGCCAGGCAGGAGCGCGCGGAGTTGCAAAAGCAGCGGAACGCGCTGGCCCTGGTCTCGGTGTTTTGTGCCCTGCCCAAGGCAGGCGCCTCCGCGCTGGACCGTGCAACAGCCTTCCGCACCCTGGCCGAGCCTCTCCAGTGACTACCTACCAGACCACCCCAACCCAACCCGAAGACCCGAATTTCGGGTTGGGGTGTGTGAAAGTGATGACGTGTACATGCACGTGCTTGCCCCTCGTTTCATGATGTACTGACTGTGTGTAACATTGTGGCTCAGGGCCCTTGAGCTTTAGGCTGTTCAGCGGAAACCTATAGCATATCATATCGACATCCGTCGCAACGGATCAGGAATTGCATCTTCACATTGGCAGCGGAGCAGTTCGAGCCGCGGACTGCAGATCTCATGCTATCGAGTGGCCCAGCGGATTGACCGCTATCAGGTGGATTGCCCATCGAGCAATATTCTAGTGGACGCTGGAGGAGAAGACCTGGACGCCCTACACGTTTCTGAATTACAAATAATTCGTCCAATTCTCCAGCGAGATGGCGCCAAAGGCGGCGCCCGACGATGATGAAACGGGCACCAACGGTGGTCCCAGCTACAACGTGAAGGTGCCGAGCTTCGACCCACAGACGATGACTATGAAAGACTTCCGGAGACGAGTGGCAGTATTCAAGATACGCACGCGAGTGCCAGCGGAAAAGCAAGCAGCGGAATTGTATGGAGAGTTGAAGGGCGACGCCTGGATTCACGCCGCAGATCTAGATCCGACAACTCTGCAGGACGAAGAAGGGATCCAGACGCTGCTCGATTTCCTAGCGAAGAAGTTCGACGATGAGAAGGTCATGCAGCTCGGCGCAGAGTTGAAAACATTATTCACTAAGATGCGAAGAGAGAATGGAGAAGAGATGAGAAGCTATATCAACAGATTCGACACGCAGGTATCGAGATTGAAGACGTTGAGCATCGAGTTTCCAGATCAAGCATTGGCGTGGCTGTTTATGTGGTGGCTCGGATTGCCGCCCGATCGTGAAGCAGGAGTTTTGAACACCAATCAGAATAAGTATGAGCTGAAGCCCTTGCAGAAGCAGACGTTGCTCAACGTAGAGGACGCAAAGATGATGGATCGCACCAACCCTCGTCGTCCACCACAGTCCCCATCAACACAGCCGACGACAAGGCCGCAAGGCTACCGACCACAGCGGAGATGGGGAGCGCACATGACAGGGCAAGAGAACGACGAGGAGGCGACAAACAACGAGACGTTCGAGACAGAGGTCGACACAGAGGACGTGCCAGAAGAGCTTCTGGAGGAGCACGCCGACGCGGAGGCCGAGGTTTACAAGTTAGAGAAGATGATTGTCCGAGCCAATGATCGACAACGTGATGCGAAGCAAGCTCGAGGTTTCTATCATCGAGATCGCATGCCGGGATCAGGCAAGGGCGGCTCGGGCAAGGGACGTGATGCTGGACGGGGCTCATCTTCCGGTGGGAAGGGCGGTGACCGAATTGCGAAGTTGAAGGCGCGAAATCATTGTGCAGTATGCCAGAGAATCGGACACTGGAAGGGAGACCCTGAATGCCCTGGACCACAGAAGAAAGTTCACATGGCTGGAACTGAGGATGATGATCACCAAGACGAAGGAGAGCGTCCAGCAGAAGGTTATTACACGACGAACATCAACTGGAACGACAAGGAGAAGCAGATTTCCGAGCAGAGTTTCTTTATCAACCCTGCGCGTCGAGAGACACGCAACCAGATTCACGCTAACTTTCCGACCATGAATGTGGTTATAACTTCAAAGGAGGAGCTGTTGCAACAGTGTGGTGGTAAATTATTGCCAGATTCGTGCTGTGCCAAGGCCGTTGGAGGCCAAGTTTGGTATGATGATATCAAGAGGCGTTTGGCCAAGCTGGGTTTACGACCGATCGAGATTGATGAGCACGAGATGTTTCGTTTCGGCGCTGGTAAGCCAGTTGCCAGTACGATAGCCGCTCTCATTCCACTCGCCATTCAGGGACGACACTTCACGCTGAGGATTTCAATTGTGCCCTGCCTGGTGCCGGGATTATTATCTCAACGAGCGCTGGGACAGCTGGGAGCTGTGCATGACCATGGCGAGGGAGCTGGCGAGAGTACCATGACGTTTCGAAGGCTCGGTTTGCAGGGCCTCGAGTTGGGGCAGACCAAGAGTGGACACCCCAGTTTCAACGTGCTTGAGTTCGACAGGGCCCGACTTTTCACAGTGGCTCCAGACGTGAGCCCCAGCCAGACAGAGATCAGGCTGCTTCCGCCTTCACAAAGGTGGTGGAAGGTTCTGGAAAAGGAAAGTCATCAACATCACGAGCATCATAACATTCATCATGCGATTCAAGACGAGCCCGAAGATCAATCCGATCAATTACGAGGACAAAATCAAGCACAGCGAGTCCGAATCGAACGAGAGCTAGGACAAAGCCAAGCGCAACATCAGCCAGATCATAGAGATCAGCCAAAACTGAAGAAGCCAGAGCCTGACGATATCGCCGATGATAAGCAGCAAGCAAGAAACACAGCAAGCAGAAAGACAAAACCAATTCTCAGGACCCACGAGGAGCTCAAACATAACAAACAGCCTGGGCAGCCATTGTGGGCTCGAACGAGTTCACAGGGTACAGCGTCCTCGACACGGGATGCCACCAGCTACCGTCCTCGCATGGATCTCGAATTGGGATATCCTGGACGTGGACACCAACAAGCGTTACAACACGGCCGTTCTAGTACGCTGGAAGCGCCTGTTTCGATTTCTCTACACAGCCGTGGTGATGGCAAGGGATCCGTCGGTGGGGCTGATTTTCCACAACGGGCGTCGTCTGGGGGAGAGCCTCGCATCTCGAGACCGCGAACCCCGAGCACCACGTCGCCTGCTGCCGCTGGGCAACATGGTGAAGATCGAGCTCCAGGACGGGATGGAGGACAACGACTTGGAGAATCAAGGAATGAGCTTCCGGGAGATGCGCGTCATTCTCAACGACAGGAGGATCCAGAACGGCCAGATCAAGAAGAAGTCTCCAGCTCTGGACCCAGACTTGAAAGGCATCGCCAAGATGAAGCGCGCGGAGCTGCTCGTGCTGGCCAAGAAAAAGGGCATCAAGGTCAGCGACGACATGCTGAAAGACAAAATCATATGCTTGCTACAGGGACAAGTTCCGAGAGCGATCAAGAAGGAAGAGCTGAAGGAGGAGGAAGCGCTGAAGCAACTTTCGACTTCGAGGAGTGCTTTCAGCTCACGCTCGGGGGCCTGCGCGGCCAAGCCGAGCACGGTCAAAGAGCCCACGAGCTCCGCCGGCTCCGAGAACGACGCGGACCAGATCAGCGAGGAGGACTTTGTGACCGCCGAAAACATCGGAATGGAGAAGGACCAGCCGTGGGAGATGATCGCACAGAGCGGGAAGAGTCGCCAGAGGGGCCACGATTGAAGAGGAAGATGAAGCCAAGCCAGACCAAGCGCTTCAAGGATATGATCAGCAAGGCTCTGATGTTCCTCACGTGGCAGACGGCATTCCTTGGATCATTCTTGATCAAGCCTCTCTTCAACGAAGGGAAGGCAATCGCTCAAGACATGCGGGACATTTTCAGTATCAAGACAAATCTACGTTATGATTTGATGCATATATTCGCCGGTGAAGCTGTCCTATCCGAGGAGTTCAGTCAGGCAGGCTTGAAAGTATGCGAGCCCATAGACCAACGCTACAACTACGACCTGCGCACGCCCGCTGATCGACGCGAAGTTTTGAATATGTAGCATGCATGCAGACCTCGACTCGTGACGCTGGAGTCTCCATGTACGCTCTGGACGCGGCTTACAATAATAAACTACAGAGGTGAATATCGACAGCAAAAGTTGAGGAGGAAGAGGTTACGTGACAAGCCATTGCGTGAATTCGTGGAAGAAGTGAGTATGCTGCAGTTGGGCAACAAGAACGACATCCTAGTCGAGAACCCTTTGGAATCAGAAGCATCCAAACAGCCACAGTTGCTTCGTGTGATGGCCCATCCTAGAGTTCATGAGGTGAAAGTCGACATGTGCCGCTTCAACCTACGACATCCGAGATATGGAGGTAAGGTTCGCAAGTCGACCAAGCTTCTGGTATCCAACGAGTCGTACGTCAGGAAGCTGGGCAAGATATGCGACGGAAAACATCGTCATGACCACTCGGAGGGAGCTCACTATACACGGTTGGCTGGCAGATACACCAAAGAGTTCGCGAAAGCAGTACTAGTGGCCTATCAGTGCAGCAACTCTACCGATATGATGGGTACGGAGTATACGCGACCGGAGACCTGATGGACCTCATGGGCGGAGAGTCCGACGAGTGGTTCTACTACGAGAACATAGGCGACTACAGGGAGCTGCCAACCAAGCTTCCAGACGGCCCCGACTGGACACGAGTGGGACGTCGCCGTATTACGGACCTAGACGCCGACGTGGTGCTACAGGACTTCGAGAAAGCAGACATTCTCCTGGATCACATACGAGCCAAGCTGGATCGCACAGCCAAGTTGAAGGTGCAATTGTGGTACAAGCCAGAGCCGGTGTCCAGCGACCTGGGCGCCAAGGCTATTCAGCTCGGTCCTGGAAGCTCGGAGTGCTCGAGTATTTTTTTGAGGGAGAAGATGGGAGCGCACACGATGACGTTTGAAACACCTGTTGATCAGGAATAACTGACCGAATTTCCGCCCCGTAGCAGCCGTAGCAGCCGGACGTAGAAATCCACTTCGGGCCGAGTCACCCGTGACAATTACTGCCCGGGCAACTTCCGTGCAGATGAAGGGAGGAGGAGGAGGAGGACCAGAGTGAACATCGAGCGAATTCCCGCCACTGCTTAGGAGAACGGTCATGAAGCAAAATCGTGCGAACGCGGAGCGATACGAAATACCCCTATATCGTATCGGTGAGACGGGGAGGAGAAGAGAGGGGGGAGGAGCCGGAGGGGGAACCCAAATAAGGATACTACGTACAGAAGCATGGCCGCGATACTTGGCCATGGCCCCGGGCCCGGCAGAGCAGGAATAGGGTTTAAACTCGGCCGCTGAATTCTAGACCACAATCACACACATAATGTGCGCTGCATCCGCCCTCGGCAAGCGTGAGGGTGCA